GTCACGCCCCACCAACACTTACAGAGGACAAACCGACGACCGGAGACCACTGCTTCTTTGATTCTCCATTCTCTCAAAGCTTGTATCTCTATTCTCCATACCTTTGAATTAATAAAATACCCGGCAACTGAAGCTATTGAAGAGTGGACGTAGGTCGAATTAACCGAACCATTATAAATCGTGTCTTCTTTAATTTTCTTATTGATTTCACTGCATTTATTATCTACACTTGACAGGTGGTGTGCAAAATCATTTTNTCACAGGTGGTGTGCAAAATTATTTTTGTGCATCATAAAAATGGTCTGATATGTGTAAATGAAAGAGAAATGGTGGGATGGGCTTTAGAGATTTGAGAACTTTCAATATGGTCATGTTGGTCAAACATGCATGGAGAATTCACCATTACACAAACACTCTTCTGTACAAGGTTTTGAAGGCGAGGNATGGTCTGATATGTGTAAATGAAAGAGAAATGGTGGGATGGGCTTTAGAGATTTGAGAACTTTCAATATGGTCACGTTGGTCAAACATGCATGGAGAATTCACCATTACACAAACACTCTTCTGTACAAGGTTTTGAAGGCGAGGTACTTCCCTTCTACTTCGTTCTTCATCGAATTCAGGTTGTAACAGGAATGGTATATGGAATCAAAGAGTCCTCAGTAAAACTAAAATATTTGCGTGGAGGATGCCTCTAAATGCCCTCCCTACGAACGAGAATTTGTGGCGTATATGCCCTCGCTTTTTTGTGGTGCTGTGTTGGCTCCTGTGGCGAAATAGAAATGAGGTTATCTTCCAGCAATCGAGTAATGACCCTGCTGTTCTCTGTCACAGAGCAACAGAGTACCTTTCACAATACGAGCAAGCTGTGGATCATGGTAACACTGCTACAGATGGGGCTGCACCAATTCTGTGGTCTCCTCTTAAGTTCTGGTTCCTTTAAAGTCAATTTAATGGTGAGGTGTTTGAGATATAAGCTGCTATTGGGGTGGGTTTGGTTATAAGAGATGAAGCTGAGATGTTTATGGCGGGGATGTCGAAGAAGTTAGTTGCATTAGGTGAGGTGCAAATTGCTGAGACCATGGCTGCAAGCAAAGTTGTGCTATTTGCTAGGCAGATTGGGTGTGAGGAGATTGTGCTTGAAGGGTAGTCAACAACGGTGATGAAGAGGCTGGGCGACAATTCTGAGGATTTTTCTTCTTTGGGCATCATTGTTGTAGATGTTCAATGAGTTCTCGGAACGTTTAATTTATAGTCATTGACTATTGTCAGGCGTTTAAGAATTGTGTAGCTCACTGGTTGGTTCGAAAAATTAGATATATGAGAATGTTGATGTTTGAGAAGAGATAATACCAAAATTCTTAGTACCGCTTGTATCAAAAAAAAAAAACCCAGCACGCCAATCGTGCATACAACTTCGTTTTAAAATGTCTTACAAATTTGTGATATTCTTAATTTAATCTTTAAGCTTTGTAAAAAACTATAGTTAACCCTTTTGGTCAATTTTAGCCGTTAAAATAAAAAAAAATTTCTAATGTGAGATTCATGTACTATTGTTAAAGACAAAGTATGAACTAAATTATCAACAATATGATAATCGTGTCTTCTCTAATTTGAAGACTCAATCTAAATGAACGAAATACTTGAGGCACGAGAATGAACAATTAAANTAATTTGAAGACTCAATCTAAATGAACGAAATACTTGAGGCACGAGAATGAACAATTAAAAACATTTATTAGACTATATATATCATTATTACTACTCCTAACAGTAGCAAATAGTTTTCTAGTGAGAGAAAATCATTTGTTTTAATGCCTTAAATTAACGTAAAGGATCGATTCAAATGATTTTAAAAGTTTAAAAACTAAATTAAGACAATAAAAAAGTTTAAAAAATATTTTAAAACTAGAGTTAGAGTTGAATGGTCCTTTATGATATTTTTCCCGACAAACTGATATAATAGAATAGTTTAAGTGTAGCAACGTTAAAAAAAAATTAAAAATTAGACATAAACAATGGAGCTATTCATATATACCTCCCTATTATCTTTTTAAACTCTAACTTTTTGGTATACGGAGAAANAACTCTAAATTTTTCGGTTTACGGAGAAAAATATATGCTTGACTTTACAAAAAAAACCTGAGGATTGACTTTGCACGGCTGTCATTTTATATTTATTGACAGAAAGAAGATAATTGTGGGTATAAAGTCAAACATCTAAAAATTTATTGGTGTAGTGCGAGAATAAACTTTTAAAAGTTTATTATTTATATCTAAAGATGCTCGAATTCTTAATTTGTACCTTAAAAAACTTCAATTTTCAAATTGCATCCTCGTAAAAAATTTTGCAATGTGGCCCATATCTAAATTGCCATTCATTTTTTGGTCTAATGATAGTGTCCTTCACATTGTGTTTTAAGACGACAGTTAGTGTTCGGATCAGAATTTTGAGGTATAAATTAAAAATTCGAAGCTTTTTCAGGGTACAAACTGTAATTAATTCTAAGATTAAAGATGCCATCCCGAGGTGGGTTACGTAACTTGTGCACATTACTATCCCCTTGGACAGCAACAATAGTCCACATTTCCAGCTAAGTAACATTAAAACAGCATTAATTTTCACATAAATACTAATTATTTGACAATTAGAATACAAAATCATCAACTTGCATATTGTTTTCGGATAAATTACACTTACACCCTCTAAATAATCACTCTTTTTTTACTTTGTCCCTTTAACTATCAGATTTATCACATTGCACTCTCAACTATATGATTTGTTTTACATTTCTCCAATTATTAATGTCTGTTTTATATTTAACAGAAATTTATTTTATTTTGTTCCCCAAATTATGTAATTTTTTTTTACTTTATTTCGACACGTCAGCGATTTCCATCCAAAAAAAAACAATCATTTGTGATTGGGGTAATGCGAAACAAAAGTGTTAGTTGAAGATGCAATGTAAGAAATTTGGTAGTTAAGGGGGCAAAATGAAAGAAGGGTGATAATTCAGGAGTGTAAGTATAATTTACCCATTGTTTTCTGTGCTTCACACCCCTTGATTCCTCCCGGACCTCCCCTAGTTAACTGCCTTCAAGAATAAAAATAAGAAAAATCACCGCAAACAAACAAGCCATAACACCAGTTGACTTTCTACACAGAGAGAGAGAGAGAGAGAGCTGTTGTGTTGTGTTCTTGTGATCTGTTCTCTTCTTTCATTTGTTTCAGTGAGATTTGAAGATTGAAACTTTGAGACAGAAAGGTGCAATGTCAATGCATGCCAAGACAGACTCAGAGGTGACAAGCCTAGCACCATCGTCACCGAACCGGCCGGTCTATTATGTGCAGAGCCCATCACGAGACTCTCACGATGGAGAGAAGACCACCAACTCCTTCCACTCAACGCCGGTCCTCAGCCCCATGGGGTCACCGGGTCGCCATTCCCGCGAGTCATCCTCCACCAGGTTCTCCGGTTCGCTCAAACCCGGTTCTGGCAAGGGCGGCGACGGATCAAGAGGCAGACACAACCATCGCAAGAGTGAGAAGCAATGGAAAGAGTTTGACGCCATTGAAGAAGAAGGTCTTCTTGATGACGATGGGACCTACAATGGCATACCTCGACGGTGCTATTTTGTGGCTTTTGTTGTGGGTTTCTTTGTTCTGTTCAGTTTCTTTGCTTTGATCTTATGGGGGGCTAGTCGAAATCAGAAACCTATCATCATCATGAAGGTGAACCCATTCATAACCAATTCATTTTGCTTTTATAAATTTGCTAGTTCAGATTCTCTGCTGATAATCAGGTGCATTTTTGCAGTATTTGGATTTTATTCGCAAACTTTATTTGTTAATCTAATTAATGTACAGTGGATCTCAACGTTGGCGGAGTCCTACGGCCAGTCCAATGATAAGGACTTATAATTGAACGAGCTGCCTCGGTTCGGATTTGACTTATTTTAAACTCTGTTTGAATTTGACTTGTTTTGGGCTCCGCTCGGGTTCGAAACAAGTTACAACTAATCAAAACATATTTCATTTGAAATTGCATCTGAAAATTAAGCTCGTAGACATGAGGGTGCATACATATATATGTTTATATTTATGTAAATATTGTACCTACTTTATTTTGCTTTTTGGCAAAGTTTCTGAAAGTGGGTGATTGTTCAATTGTGCAGAGTATATCATATGATCAATTCATAATTCAATCTGGTTCAGATAGCACAGGGGTAGCCACAGATATGGCGTCCATGAACTCCACTGTCAAGCTCATTTTTCATAATAAGGGGACATTCTTCGGGGTCCACGTTACTTTTTTACCTCTTGATATCTTCTATTCTCAACTCACTGTAGCCACCGGAACTGTAAGTAACAAAAACCAACAACTCATTCATTCTATGTACTTCTTAAATTTTCTTCCTTACGCTATCGAAAATTATTTTTTGGTACTGTACCAAAGTTAGTACAATATAAACTTAATGTTACAACTAAATCTAATAGGGTTACCCAAAATGAAGTTATTTAAAATTGATCCCAATTTNCGGAGTCCTACGGCCAGTCCAATGATAAGGACTTATAATTGAACGAGCTGCCTCGGTTCGGATTTGACTTATTTTAAACTCTGTTTGAATTTGACTTGTTTTGGGCTCCGCTCGGGTTCGAAACAAGTTACAACTAATCAAAACATATTTCATTTGAAATTGCATCTGAAAATTAAGCTCGTAGACATGAGGGTGCATACATATATATGTTTATATTTATGTAAATATTGTACCTACTTTATTTTGCTTTTTGGCAAAGTTTCTGAAAGTGGGTGATTGTTCAATTGTGCAGAGTATATCATATGATCAATTCATAATTCAATCTGGTTCAGATAGCACAGGGGTAGCCACAGATATGGCGTCCATGAACTCCACTGTCAAGCTCATTTTTCATAATAAGGGGACATTCTTCGGGGTCCACGTTACTTTTTTACCTCTTGATATCTTCTATTCTCAACTCACTGTAGCCACCGGAACTGTAAGTAACAAAAACCAACAACTCATTCATTCTATGTACTTCTTAAATTTTCTTCCTTACGCTATCGAAAATTATTTTTTGGTACTGTACCAAAGTTAGTACAATATAAACTTAATGTTACAACTAAATCTAATAGGGTTACCCAAAATGAAGTTATTTAAAATTGATCCCAATTTTTTTTTTCTTTTGCTGTAACTTGACTTTGTTGGGCTGCAACTTGACCCAAAATGTTGTACTATTTGTAAATTTTGGTACGGCGACCATATTGGTGGTGTTTGGATGACCCGTTAGGATTTGATAAGATTTAATTTTTATATTCTAACCCATCCAACCCTAATCCGACCAGTGACTTGCATTAGATGGGATACATGTTTGATTTTGTCCAGCCCATTGTTTGCTTAGTAACTTTGCAATTTTGTGGGACCCATAGATTAGGCCATTGATTTGTATTTGTTTACCCAATCAATCCATAAACATATTCAATCCAAGCCTCTGTTTGGATGAGTCTGGATACAATAGAGGTGATGCTTCTCAAAACGACACCGTTTCACACCGAAATNGGACCATAAGTCAGTTCTTGGGCTCCTCAGTGGCGCCAGAACTTCATGTCCACTTATAAAATTGGGCTGTAAGCTAGGCTTAGGCCCAAATCCCTGTTCACATAAAGCCTTTTTTTTTTGGACTTTAAAACGCAGAATCATCTTTAAATCACATGTCCTATGGACAAATAGCTGCCAATTAAACCTTAGAATGAATCATGAATGTAATCCTATGGGCCTGTTTGTTTTGTGGGTTTGGGCAAGTTTGTAAAGATGGGCTTAAGTCCTTAATAGAGAAGAGTGGGCCTGGAGGGGAGGTGGTTTCAAATCTGCCAGCCTAGAATATATTGACAAAAGACCCTTCTATCCCTAAGTAACTCTTCTATCTATACAAATCAAATCTCAAATATGAGTATGAATTGGATTGATNAATTCCGAGTCAAATGCTATATACTGTTCCGCCATACTCGTTCATTTATAAAAAAATGAGTGTTCAAAATCACTTCAAATATAAAATTGCAACAAATTTCGAACATTTTGATCAAGTTTAATCCATTCATTTATGTTGAGAATTTGGTTTCGGCTAGTTTTTGTCTATTGAGATGCATGACTCACTTGTTTCACTACCTACAATCTTGTGATTGTTATATGTTCCATCCACACAAGTAGAGCTGTTAATCGAACTAAAATTTACGAGCTTGAACCCGTGTTTATCGAGTTTGTATTTTTAAATGAGACAAAAAAATGATTCAAACTCAGCTTATTTGGAAAATGAGCCGAGTCTGAATAATTTGACTATTTTATATATAAACGAGCTGGGCCTTTTAGACTCGTTTTTCTAAACGTTTAAAAAATTATTCAACCTTGGTTTATTTAGACATTAGTCAAGCTCAAGATGACTTCAATCTAAATGGAGCCGAATAGCTTAGTTCAATTAATAGCTCAACACACAAGGCGAATGAGGGGTGGGTTGCAGGAAAAGGCAAGCATGGCCATTGTGGACTGCCTTGTCAAAATTAAGTCCATCATAGCTAGAATGGACCATAAGTCAGTTCTTGGGCTCCTCAGTGGCGCCAGAACTTCATGTCCACTTATAAAATTGGGCTGTAAGCTAGGCTTAGGCCCAAATCCCTGTTCACATAAAGGCTTTTTTTTTTGGACTTTAAAACGCAGAATCATCTTTAAATCACATGTCCTATGGACAAATAGCTGCCAATTAAACCTTAGAATGGATCATGAATGTAATCCTATGGGCCTGTTTGTTTTGTGGGTTTGGGCAAGTTTGTAAAGATGGGCTTAAGTCCTTAATAGAGAAGAGTGGGCCTGGAGGAGGTGGTTTCAAATCTGCCAGCCTAGAATATATTGACAAAAGACCCTTCTTTCCCTAAGTAACTCTTCTATCTATACAAATCAAATCTCAAATATGAGTATGAATTGGATTGATCAATGACTAATTTAGTCAAATACATAACAAATCCTTGGTGGTAATTGTAATAAATTTGTGGGTTCTACATTTATTTATGTTGCTTATCAAACATAGGATTAAATTGAGCTTATGTTTGAATCCCATGTAAAAATCACTTGGGTTGAGTTTGAAAGGGTTTTCTAAAATAATCCAATCCCTCTCGATGTGAATCACCCAAAACATGGCCCATAAGCCTTGGGTATGGGTTAAACTTGAATTTTATGGGACCAGTGGGATTTCAACTCAAGAAGTTTCGATTTATGTGTCATTCCTTATTTCACTGTTGAGCGCATCCGTTTGGACTACCCGCCCCTAGAAAAATAGAAAAGAACATAAAACTGAGAAAATCTAACATTCACAACCACAAACCCTACTATCGTTAAATGCAGGAGTGTCAATTTCACCCATTAACACGAATACGATGACTCGATAAGATACAACGTTAAAATTGACACAATTGGTAACAATTACACTTATACCACATTATATATTTATTTATTTTATAGATATTGACATGAACACGATATGATTAATAATAGCACGATCAAAAAATAACAACACACAAATGACAAAACCCTAGTTAAAGCATAATGTTATTTGAACTTAAAAATCTAATCTAATTTGTTGTCCTAATAATATGACTTCGTTGCAATTATTAGATAAATACCAAATTTTAATGTTTAATGAGACTTAAAGTCAATCCAAAAATTATAATAAATTAGGTCAACAAATCAAGCAGTAAACTCCAATAGCATTGCTCCCCCCCAGCTAAATAGTCTTGTAGCCAACAAGATGATGAAGGTATGGTACAGCTTCCTTCATCGTAGATATTAAGATTGACAATGAATGGGTTTGTGTCTTGTCAATCTGTGTTATTTTTATAATGTATTGCATAAAACTTCGACCAATTGATCCACAATAAATTCATAATCGCACTTTGTTGAATGTTTATTATGTCAAATTAACATAGTTTGTATATCAAATACATGACATATCCTTAGTGACACATCGTTAAAATTTATACAATTGGTAACATTGACACTTATACCACATTGAATATATATAAAATGAGACTAGTGATAATTTCATACCTAGAGACATTATATAATATTAAAAATCGAATATCGATTATATAACATTTATATTTCAAATAACATTTTTTTTTCATTACATAATTTAAAATTAAAATAAACAGAGAGAAAAGAGAAGTATGTGTTAATTGATGAGATTGTTTGGTATTAAAAAGTATATATGTTTGAATTATCTCATATTTGGAATTGTGTAGAGAAGATGGTGATTTTGAGCGGGAAAAAAAAATTTGAGATAAATTTTATACTATTAAATAAAATAGACAAAGATTGAATTAATATTGACTTTTTTGTATTTTTATAAATTAATAATATAACTTGTTAACTGTAATATTTGATTGATAGCTAACATTTTGAATTTTTATCATCCACATTTTTTTTGGCTCATTTCTATAACATCACAAATTTTTGTCATAATTTGAATCATTTAATTTAGACATTATTCATGTACAATAATTTTAAAGTCATATATTTTGATAAAATTTTGTTGATTTTTTTTAAAAAAACAATTGGTTCAAATTAATTTTAAATTATATAATTAAAAAAAGAATAGAGAAAAAAATTAATATTTAATATAATAAAATCGAATTTTTAGGCATGTTCCTTGTACCTTCGGGTACAGATTATGGCGAGTGCAATGACTTCTTATAAGACCAAAATACCCATCAACTTAGTTGTGAACTTGTGATCCAAAGCCGTCGTAAGATTTATGGAGTGTCTGTCTGCACAAGGATACAATTACAGTGTCTGAGCCTATAAAACAGATACTGTTTCAAGTAAGGTCGTTGATTGTGTACACACAAACACATAAGATTTCATTCAACTAGTTGTTTACTATATTATTTTCCTCGAAAAACAACACGAAGAAGTTGCAAGTTGCCATACAGAAACAAACAGAATCTTTATTTAAGAGATCCGGGATTGCAGCTAAAATATCCAATATATATAATTCATCAACTTTCAATTACAACACAGAAATTGAAATTGTTCGTTGAAAAATAAAAAAAAACTGAACTGCACACTCTGCTTAAAGCGTCCCCAATCAGAACCCTTCAATGAAGTCAGTCAGAAACTTTGTATTTACACCCCCTCTATCTAAACAATTTCACCAAAAAAATCATCATCAATTCCAACTAAAAGAAAAATCAGTGCTGAACAATATCTGCCGGAATCATTGAATGTCGTTCTCCGAATCTGCCATCCCGTGTACTGGTCGATATCGTTTCACCACGTCTGGATCTCCGAGCTGACAAGTGATACTATCTAAAAAATAATCACAATATTCCCATTACCTTACTGTAACCCAACTGTCTGAAACTGACCAATCAGGCCTATGATCCGCCACCAACTGCCGTAGCCTACCCGCCGGCGATGTTGAAGATGGCCTGTGTGAATTCAAGTCTTCTGGCCACCATTGGTCGGGCTCCGGCGAGGGTGAAAAAGTAATTGAACATGTCGTAGAAGATTGTGGGGACCCAAAATCAAGAAAATCGAATGGACTTCTGGGTGAGGTGGAAGGAGCTTCATCTGTGTCTTTCAATGGAACAGTGTCATGATCATGACCATGAAGGAATGGGTGATTTAGAAGCATCTCAGCCGTCCATCTTTTTCTGGGGTCTTTTATAAAACACTTTCTGAGAAAATCTTTCCCTCCCTCTGACAATTTCCCGGGAATCTCAGGGACCTCCTCACCCACCCCAATTCTCATCAACAGCCCGGACACATCGGTGCACCGCCACGCCGGAGCTCCGGTGACCATCTCCGACACCACGCACCCAAGTGCCCATATGTCCGCCGGCGACTCCTGCTCGCCTCTGGTGACTACCTCCGGCGACATATACAACGGCGTTCCTCTCAATTCATAACCTGAAACACCCTCCTTTTTACCACCAGCTTTCTTAGCCAACCCAAAATCGGAAATCTTTGCTGTGCCGTTTTGATCTTTTCTTGAAGAGAATAAAAGGATGTTTTGAAGCTTAATATCACAGTGAACATACCCATTCTTGTGAATATAGTGAAGCCCTCTTAGTAATGACTTCGTGTATCGCCGTATGTCTGATTCCGATAACCGATGTTCGCTGGAATTTTTAAGCTCATCAGCCAAAGAACCTCTAGAAGCGTACTCCAACAAGACATTGTACAATTTCTGGCCATTTTCAAAACTGAAATTGTCACCAAAACAATAAACGATCTCCGGACAATCCTGAAGCTCCTCCAATACCATCTTTTCGTTCATCAACAAATCAGAGTGCGAAGCATCACAAGATTTCACGGCCATTAATGGAGGAATTTGCGGACTCTGGCTTCTGGGTATTGCAAGATTGACTGTCCCAAAGCTTCCATGGCCGATTGTTCCACCACGTACCCACTCCATGGGTATGATCAGAGCTGGAATTGTGAGTCTCTGTGGGTTTGTGGGTGGGTGTTTTCTCTTGATTTTTGTGGGCTTTCCTTTCCAAAGAAGGGAGAGAAACAGAATCACACAAGTGATGGAACTCTGTACTTGGTGGGTTTTCTATATATAATCGGAGAATTGTGTATATATAATCAAAGAGCACGTGGTAATGAAGGATATTTGTTCCTAATTGGGCTGAAATAGCTTACACCAGTTTGGA